TACCCTTCCACGGCATCTTTCGGTGCTGTTTGAGCGGCTGACTTCCCGGCTGTCTCGCAGCTCGAGATAGTGACGGGTGCCTGACGACAGGCACAGTTCGTCATTACGAAACGTGAGCCCTGACACAGCTAACACCGTCCACACTGCGTATGGGACTTTCTAGCGATTGTAACCACGGAGAAGCCTGGCCGTTGCAATTGTTCTTCACTTGCTTTTCGCCTGGTCCTTGACCTCAGCAATAAAAAACATTTAGTGTTCGCTGTTTCTAAAGTGTGAATATTTACCACCCGCTTGTCCGTCTGGCTTGTAATTCGTTATGGGTCATACTTAGTGTCCTCTTCATTTATTCAGATTCAAAAACTATATATTGTTATGGCTAGTAGGTAATTCGAAGGCCTTGTTTCGTCGGGTTCCGTCGTCAAACTCTAATAACGTTCATTCCTTCACACACCCACTGTTTGCACGAAACACCTTGCGGTGTGAGCTTTTGTCCTACACAAAACTATTTGCGGTGCGAGCGTTCATGTTCCACAACAATATGTTCCAGCTCACCCGCTATGAAATATACGTTCTGAAGTATTTTAATTACGTACATTGCGGTAGTAGCAGTGCATAGCAGACAATCATCATCTTCATTGTATGGGGAGGTGGCGTCCCTGGTGGTGATTATGTGAAGCAGGCACTTTCAGTATAAAGGAGGCTATGTCTAAGCTATAGGCTCACATGCCTCTGCCTATGTCAGCGCTGAAGAGATTTGTGAGATTCCGTATCGTTATGGCGCATAGTTAAACAATATGACGGCCGCCATGTTACCGTGCATGCATGCCATCTGTTCTCACTGAAACACAAAAACAAATAGGCCAGAGTGCATTATTTTTTTATTTTTTTATTTGACCTTACCAGAGATAACGCTGTCAGTAAGGATTTAGTCACATTAACGTCGCGATAATTTCAAAACACGAGGTTTCAAAGCTCGCAACGGTTGCAGAGAGGGGGAGAACAGCGTTGCTAAAGTAATGGTATCAATGTAGTCGAAAGAGAAAAATAAAAACAGCATAGAACTCGGCGATGGGGCGTTTCTGCCACCTGCTTCAAACGCCATAATCGACCTCTTTGCGCGTTCCACGTCAGAGATAAACAAGATAAGACGTGCAGAGGACGTCAACGAGCAAGACACAGCACGTAGAAACGCGCGCAAGCTGTGCTTGCACAGCGTAGGTTGTGCAAGCGCGAACGTGACGGCCTTGACTGGAGCATTCGCTACACGAGCGCTAGTGCAGCCGCTGAGGCTTCATTCGAAGCAAATAGCTCGCGCTTTTAGCATGCGCGGCTAACATTAGCCCATGCTAAGCTGAGATAAGGTATAATGCCAGTTTTAGTCACGGTTGGGTTGGGGAGACAGACTGAAGAACGCAGCCGAACCTGTCTGCACTGAGGCACCCTGCAGTCTGCATGAAATCGGTTGCAAAATAAGAGGAAAGGAATCTCTTACAGGTTCTCTAATGTCCACTACAGCAAATGTAACGAGACGCCTAAGCCTGGCAGAGTACTGCAATACAGTCGATGCACGGTAAACCATACTGAAAAACCACGGTGACGAGGGGACACACACACACACAACAAAACGAGAACAAACACAGCACCGTCCTAAAACACAGTTGCAAATCTTATTTTCAGAGTCTCGTTTATATACAGCAACCCCCCCCCCCCCCCCCCCCCCCCCATTGTCGACATAACAATAACCACCGACCCTCAAGTATGACGAAGTGAACATAAAACTTAAATTTGCAACTGTGTTTCGAAGCGGTGTAGTGCTTGTCCCCTTTTTTCGAGTTCCCCCGACTCCGCTTTTTTTTTTTTTTTTTTAAGTATGATTGTTTATCAGCGTTGCTGCGAAATCTCCCGCATTTTTACATGATAAATGTATTTCAATACTGAGATGCAAATATATTTTTCAACTCTATCTCGATACAAAGATACAGACTCGAGGTATCTCCAAGATACTACAGCGATACATTTGTATCACGATACTCTCTAGACTAGAATAGCTTATTTAGTGGTCTAGGCTTAACTTCGATGGATAATTATATGATAAAAATCTTAAATTCTATTTTTTTCTTCAATTAACAAAATGCTAAAAAAACAACTTCGAACTTTTCTTATTTCTTATATCATCCTCATTGATCTAACGTGACTAGCCAGTCCGGCTAGACCGATCTAACTAGTCAGTATGGCTACGCCACCGCTACCGCAGTGCATCGAGGAAACTTTAGCAAGTTGCACGTGCGAAGACCTCGCTGCGGAGCTCTGCATGCCGTCGGCCTCCTGTGGACTAAAGTTATGGCGGCGTCACGCACGCGCCGAACGCTTACGAGAACGGTCTATTATGAGGCTTCAACTTCCGACAAGTGTAGTAGCAGCCCTTCGACGAGCAAAGCTCCTTCGTTCGATTGTTTTTGTCCAAGAAGCGTCAAATGCGCCGACGCGCGAGACTCGTCCCTCGTGCGACCCACGGAAAAAAAATGGCGGCGGAGCACTCGCTGCAGGTGGCACATGGCGCGTGCGTTCGCGCGACAATGGTTGGCGATACTTGTAAGCGCGAAGCGTGAATTTATCGAGGGGTTTTATCGACGAGATGTGCCAGGTACTCCCTGGTGGACCTGCCACGTATATCGACAAAACCCGCTTTCTCCGGCTGATGCTCGAGCCAACGCCCATTCTGACCGCTTAACAAAATTGATTCAACAAGTTCTATCCCCCTGGAACGACGCGTTCCGGGACGGCGCGTGTGAACCGCGTAAACAAGAGAGCAGCGGCGATTGTCCATCGCCGATGCTTTCTACAGCCGCTGAAGGAGAAGCTGCCCGTCAATCACGCGAGGCTGCTTCTCTCCACATTTTCGCTAATGAGCGAGGGCCCGACGAGTGTGTCTTGGCAGAGGCCACAACCTTCGCGGCGACGAAGGACCCACCGACGGCGGAAATTTGTGCCTCCTCTTTTTCTCTGCCTTTCTTAACGGCTGTCTCGCGGGAGACAAAAACAAAGTCGCGCATTAATCATCGTTGCCTGTCCCCGGGGCCACGCGTTCAATGGGTTGGGCCTGTCATACGAGACAATAGCGGCACAACTTTGCGTCGTACAGAACGCGTACTCCTTCCCTTGAGACCCGCGCACGCAAACCGTCTTCTATAGCCCCTTCCCGCCGCTTCACGCGGTCTTCTCTTCGGTACAAAAGCGCCCCGAACTTTGCAGCCACGGTACGTAAAGCAAGGTTTTTCAGCCACTTCTCTATAGGGGGCATTCACTGGACGCAATATTTGGGCGCACAGTTAACAGTGCATGCTCAAAACGAGCTCACACTTATGACTGTTAAGACCAGCAACCTTTATGGTGTCGGACGCACGTTGAAAGAACTGTGGAAGCTCGCCGTCAGCGCACGCTCAGCAGCCGCGGACTCAGCTATGGCCGCCAGTGAATACTCAGTCCCTATATACAGAGACAGATGGCTTACACTGACGTCCCATCAGCAGCCATCGTGGTGACCTGACTGCTGAGTCATACCTTCTGCGGCATACATTTTGTAACACCGAACACGCGTATGTCTCGGCAAGGACAACTAGGAATGGCCACCAACATGGCCTGATGACGTCACGTGCACGCCATGTATACGTTAACAATCTTCGTTACCATTCTTCGGCCATGATTGCTACTTTGAGCTTGTGACATCTGAACCCAGTGGAACGGAAAAGCCGATGGCAGCTAGGTTGTCGGAAAATCGGTGCAAGAGGGCCATCTGTCCCGTACGTGAAATAAATGTGAACACGGTTCGTTCCAGCCCTGTAACTCTGTAACTTTTTTTTTATGCGATTGCGCATGCATTTTTTTATGAATACATAAATATTAAATAATTATTCCATAAACCTCTGGGGAGCGACAAGTAAACGTGGATGCACCGTGCACCAGATCCAGGATGTGCGCATTCGTCCTATTTAACCCCCTCCTTCCCTTCCCTCCTTCGTACCACAGCGCATCTTACGTACGAGGCCTTACCGTAAAGTTCATCAATCAATAAATAATTAAATTCAAATTGTTTTGTTAAAAATAACTACCTTTTCCGAAAGTGATCACGAGACTTTGCACGATAGCTTCAGAACGCCGGATTTCATATGATCCTCGATGAACGAGGGGCACCTAAAAAATCAGCTCGTACAGGTCAATTTTCAAAATGTTTAACTTGATGATCGCACACTTTTACTCAGGGGAATGTTTACCTTGGCACAGGCGCTTACTTATATAAGCAACACCCGATGACTTATGTGATACACGCTATACGAATATCTGAATGTCAAACGAGTGTATGAGCCGTGAGGTCGCTCTTGGATTACTCCTTTTTTCGCGTCGTGTCGTAAAGCAGGCCGTAAACTAAATACAAGAGAAAAATATAAAGGAAAGACATGATACGATTGACCATTTTTTGGAGGCCAGGATGTCGTAGCAACTTGCAAGATGGCAGATGTAGGAAACGTGCAGGATATAACTTTAAGCAAGGTCAAACGACGCGAGATGCCATTTTGGTGGTCATAACTTTTATCATTGCGGATGTGAGTCTTACAGGAGATTGTATTAAAAGAAAAGCACAACCATCTACCTGGCAACTAAGTGACCATTGTAACGTCTAGCTTCTAGAATTATATTTACAGTACCTTTCATGACGAACATACGTGCGAGTCATCTGGAACTTCTCGTAAGATACCGGTCAAGCACCCTATTTTTTTACTTAAATAAAGATGTAGTTCTGGTGATGGGTTAATGCTCGCTTGAATAAACTTTAGTCGCAGTTAGGTGCGCATAAATGTCACAAAGATTTGAATGTTGCACAAAACCGATGGAGCAGTATAGACATTAGATGCATCCATCAAGGAATGTCTAATTTAGTCCGTCCAATACACACAAAAAAGTGCGGATTTACAAAAAGAACTCGTTTTTCTCGCTTAACCCAGGGCCGCCATTCAAGAAGTCTCATGTCCAGTGACGACAGCACCGAGGACGACACGTTCCGTGTCAGAGGCCTCAAGTTCTCCAAGGACTTCACCCGGGACCTTGTCGAATCTGCCCTGCAGTACACCCCGCGAGACGACGATGTCTTTGTCGTCTCGTACTCCAAGTGCGGGGCAGCCTTCGTGCAGCACATCGTACACCTCATCTTCAACCAGGGACAGCCGTCCGGCGACTACGTCAAATGGTCACAGGCCACACCTCATCTGGAGCTAGTGGGCGCCGAGGCTGTTTGCAAGATGCCTCGACCCAACGCCATAAAGTCCCACCTTCCCGTCGAACTAATGCCGTGGTCCAGCGAAGCTAAGTACATATACGTGGCCAGAAACCCCAAAGACTGCTTCGTCTCTATTTTCCTCAACCGTCAGTTGTTCCTCAAGCAGAAATCCATGGACGCCGCCTTCCAGGAGTTCATCAGCGGCGACATGATCTGGGGCGATTACTTTCAGCACGTGTCCGGATGGTACTCCAAGAAGAAGGAACCTAACGTGATGTTCGTCCTCTACGAGGACATCAAGAGATCGCCGCACGAAGTAATTGAGAAACTCGCAGCGTTCTTGGGCGAAAAGTGGCTGGAGTCCATCCGAGACGAGAGCACCCTTGACAAGATAGTGCACCACAGCAGCTACGACTTCATGAAAGAGCATGCCACGCAGACTGTCAAAAAATTCGAAGAAACGCCAGAGGAGGACGTAGACGCACCCATTGTAGAAACGCCGGCCATGAGGACGAGGACGTTTGCAAGAAGAGGAACGGTCGGCGACTGGAGGTCTACCCTGAATACGAAGCAAGAAAGACAGCTGGAGAAGATCTTGAGAGAGAAGTCTAAAGGAACATCCATTTGGAAATTTTGGGTGGACTTGGATGAAGAAGATGACAGCGACTTCTGATGAAGGCAAGAATCTCGAGGCAAGAAAGTCTCAAAATTCGTGCCCAAGTGTTTCAACTTGTCACTAGAGGTCGTCAGGCTCTGGCCTGTGGACAGTCAGCCCTAGGAACAGCCACCGTGGCTTTACATCCAAGAGTTTCAGTGCCTTTTACACACCTAACTGCCCGTCATCTTGTGCACTATAGCTCCAAGGGACATCAAGGGGAACGCTACAAGGTGGCGAAGACTGGGTGTTAGTGCATTTTTACGGGCAAACGAGGCAACTAGTCTTTTTCCCTACAGATGCCGAGCGTTATTGATATGAACAATTCCTATGTAGCAAGCTTAGAAGTTTAACAGCCATAGTTTAAGGAACAACTTGTATACCCAAATCGTTTTCCTTCTCGCGATGTAAGACTCACGTGGTGATGCAAGTTCTAAACTTCAAAACTATAGCAGCGCCGTTCCACGATCCCATGTCTAAAGTCATGTATTAAAAACTCTATTTACTTTGTTGATACTACAATAACCACGACCGTGTTGATATTTTTTTTTCCACAATGAAGAGATGGAAGCCATGTTCATGAAAAAAAAACGCAGAGGTTGGTTGTTGATAGCGCTGTTCTTTCGTTTTTGAAACCCATCATTTTCAGTAATACAGACACCAGGATCCCTTGCCTGCAATTTCCTTGTTTCATCAAAGCAAAACCAACATACTTTTTTATGATTTCGCACTTCTACGCTCGGAACAACCTCATTGAAGAACGGAGTTGCTTTCCCGTGGTAACCAATGTGTTCAAAACAAAATGGAATTTCAGAGGTCTACTCATTCGAAGGCGTTAAAGGTTCATTCACACAGTTGCGTTTGACTGTGTTTGGCTGCGTTAAGGCTGTTTGCATCGAGTTATTGCTGTGGCGACCCTCAAGGGCGATTCACACACTTGCGTTGAGTCCGACCTAGTGCGAGGCAACAGCTGCGTCGCAAGCCGTTGCAGTTGCACGCTGTCGGACTGGACGCAAGTGTGTGAATCGCCCTTAACAACGAGCCCACGGGGTTGCGTTGTGCTGCACGACGCAACGCAGCGCAGCGAGGTCGATGCCACTGTGTGAACGAGCTTTTATGCTGTACGAAGCTAATGAAGTGAACTATATTTCCCTCTACTAATTGACGGGGGGTTTTAGGTGTTTTACAATTATAGGCCCTAAAGCATAAAAAATGGCATCATTTACACCGAAATTGCTTCAGTGGCAGTGCAACATGCAATGCGTTAAGGTCAGTGGCAGTGCAACATGCAATGTGTTAAGGTAAAATACATATTCAGATGTATTTAGAGCAACCGAAATCACTATCAACTTGAAGAAAACTTGAAAAATTAAGTGGAAATATACACTTGCGGCACCAGTCTTTGATTCAAGGTGGAGGAGGAGGAGCAGAATAAATATAGTAAGAGTAAACGGTGAAGGATCGTTCTAAACAATCCTCTGGTGTAGTTCTTAAAACACACGGGTTATGATCTTCGCGTGCACTTTCTTATGTAAACGTAAATGACATCTTCCAGCAGCTTGCGGATTGCTTTGAAACGATTCAAAACCACTCATCAGGCGGCTAAAGTTAGACGACCTTCGTAGATGGTTATAAACCGTTACCAAGGGCAAATAGCAAACTTTCCCAAAAAATATGGAACAAAATAAAACGTTTGAAAACTACCAAAGCGGTTGGAAAACATGTTTAAAGTTGAAGTTGAAAGTTAAAAGAAAGTTAAAAGTTAAACAAGTTCACTGAAAAACGTGCACGTCCAACGCGTGCTTTTGTGTCGACAGGCTTTAGAGGAAAGTTACACTGAAAACATAAATATATTTTTTTTAATAAAAGTAGGCGAGGTAGGATTTCAGAGAAAAGAAAAGAGAGGGGAGGGGTCAGTGCCAAACATTTAAGGGCACTGTTGCAAGCCGAGAAGGCTGAGGTGCACTATGCTTCGTAGACTTTCAAGCGACGTCTACGAAGCATCACATACTTATTTTTTACCAGTTCTTCGCGGTAGCAGATAGAGTGCTGGGAAACTTCTGAACTCAGCGTATATGTACAGCACATAATAAAGTACTTTGCACTGTTTCCAATAATCACGTGTAACAGCCATAGTTGGCGTTATTTCCTCTTTACGCTGCGATCCACAATAGACACCTTTATTTGCGCTAAGTTTGCAGCTCACGGCGACAGAAAGATTGCAGACAGCAAGAGCAGATCTAGGGAACCGCTCTATGCACAGATAAATCTGGTGCGAATAAAGACAGAAAAAAAAAAAAAAAACAAGTCAGATAATGCCTCTATCGCACAAATTGTGTGCCGCACTACTAAAGTCACGGGTGCGCCAGCGCCCGTGGCTTTGATTTTCCCAATGCTGCAGAACCCATGGGACTCTGAATTAAATCCCATCTCTGGTTACGGTTACATGAATGCAATCGTAGAGCATCGAATCGAGCAGGGACCAATCGCACCGCAGCATGTCTCTCCACTTCTTCCTCTTCTACCCATAAGCGTCAACTACGGGGGGGGGGGGGGGGGGGGGGGGGGAATGGGGCGCCTGCCTCCCCCCTCAGAGCGAACTCTAGGCCGCCCCACCCCCTTGGCCCTTCGTTTTTGCGCCTTCCGGGATGCCCGCTTTTCGTGCGGAATAGTTCACAGAATAGGCACCGGCTATGAACATTTAAGGCGGACTTAGCATTTTGCCGGCCCAGACAGCCAGGAAAGTTCCGGGAATTCGCTATGTGACAAAGAAGGGGAAGGGACCCAGAAACTATGGAGTACTGGAATTGCGGGATAAAGCAGGACCAAGTGATGACTAAACGGTAACCAGAACCGCGCGCAGACGCGCACACCGATATAGCAGACCCTAAACCAGGGGTGGCAAACAGGCGGCCCGTGGCTCGCTGACACGCGGCCCGCCGACTACCGGCTACGGGTCTAGGTTCCGATATGTTTCGAGCGCTAGAAATGGCATCCGCTATCGTGATCTTATCTCGCCGATTCCTTTTCGCTCGAAAAGTCGCTCCGCTCTTTTAACGTATTCACATAGTTTTTACTTATCCGCGTTCATTTGCCCTTTGTTTCGCTTTATCTTTTGCTTCCCAGCTTTTTATAATGTACTACTATTCCGCTACTAGGCTGCAAGCGCCAGCTATTCATTGAAGGATGCATCTCGGCTGCGCGAACTCTCGATGAGCAGGAGAAGCTGCCGAAGATAAAACTACAAGCTCAAGATTCTCGCCTTAAAAAAGAAACCAACCATTAAAAGACAAGTATGGGTATTGCAATAGAAATCATCGAGAAAGCAAGACCTGTCAAATAACTGATTGTTTTTTTTAGAGAAATGTTGAGCTTGCTTAATTCCTGAATGAATTGAGCAACGGGAACGACAGACTTGCTTCCTTGTTGTATTAAAAATACGAGCACGTTGGCGGGGCAGTGTCATTTAAATTATTATCACATCAAGTCAGGGCCTAATGTAGTCATATAAACAAATAAAATTTAAAAATGACCCTGGCAAAACTGAGTTTACAAGAAGAAGAGAGCAGGAGGTCTCTTTACTTCTAAATTTTTTCACCCCCCCCCCCCCCCCTCGCTAACGTTGGCCCCCGGCCTTCCCAGTGTCGGCTATGTGGCCCTTACGCTCAAATGAGTTTGAGACCACTGCCCTAAACGAAAGGTCAATTGACATTCTTGAATCGTAAGCACAAACTGTGCCTCCAAGAGGCCTTGGCCATCTTCATTTCGAGCAAAAAACACGCGCTGCTATCGTTTCGGCCAAACTTCGCCTGACGCCCGCGATCACAGTGAAGACGAGTGGCTTTCTAATGGGCCGTGTCGAAACGCTAAACCTTATTGCAAAAGAACCTATGACATCCGGCTGGTGGCGCGCAGAAAACGCTGAACCCACCAGACAACGAGGGGCATCTTCGTTCAGGCGAGCCGAAGATTGTAGAAACGCTGCTCGATGAATGGAACCACCGTCACGCCAGGTGACACAGATAAGCCGGACGCGTTTGGGGGCGGAAAGGATGCACAAAAGTCCGAGGGGTTTTCGTTTCTTCTTCTGGCGGTCTCCCGGCTGGTTTAGCGAATGGGCAGCGCCACTCAACTTGGAGCTCTGGTGGCTGCCCGTTGTAAGGTGCGGCTCGAGAGTAGTGTACGACTAGAGTGCCAGGGGTGGCCAGAATGGCATGGGGTTAGAGCCGCAAACAAAACTACAGAAGTTCAGACAGCCGCAGGAAAACAAAAGGGGGGGAGGGGGTTACTTTTAACAAGCAACGATATGGAGGGAACAGTTCTTTCCAATGGGGACACGTATAATTGTCGACTACAACAAATAACACCAGGCAGCAGAACGCTTTTCCAACAGCTAAGCAAAAATGAATGCGTGGTTCGCTAGCCAGCCAGGTTATGTGCATACGGTTCGAAATTATCTAACAATAAAGGAAACAGGGTCACTGGACACCCCTATGTGTCAAACCGAAGCCCAGCTAAATGTACGCAGTGTAGTGCAAGGCTGCCAAGTCTGCGTACATTTTTTTATCTCTAGAATTATTTTCGTCTTGGGGATATAGGAGGAGAAGGGAGGGCATAGGGAGGCACGAAAACCAAGGAGCCGCGAGCCGCACTTGAACCCGCGAGGAGCCGCATGCCGCTCGCTAACCGCAGTTTGGCCACCATTAGACGAAAGACGAGCCGGTCGTTCGAAACCGATTAAGTTAGAGAAACCTTCGCTCCCTTCTAGACTACACCGCCAGCTCACCTTGACAAACAATGTATACAAGCACTGCTTTGACAACAGCTTGAAGCGTTTTACAACAAAGAAGAGGAATGTTAACCCAGGGAAAACTGTGACATCGCTTGGTGAGTGTCTCTAAATGGTTGTCATTATGGCCCGACTCAAGAGTGCCGAAAAAAGAACCTGACACGTGTCTTCGATTGGTCAGTAATATGTTAGAAATGGAAAAGCCTGCCATGAGGTGCCGAAAGAGGCGGATCCAACCAACACCAACAGCTTATCCAGAAGACACGTGGTATTGGAACACGCCCACCGAGACGTTTTACGAACACACAAATATATAGAAGTTCAGACATACCCTTACCAACAACGTTCATCGAATGAAAAAGGCGAAAGAACAATAGCATCTAAGCATATAACAGAACATGCCATGTCTGCATCTCTTACACTTGTATCACTTTTCGGTCTGGCACGCGGCGTCCTGAAGTTTTTAAGGCTCTCTGTACCTGACCTGCCAACATTTCATCACTGCTCTGTCCAAGTTTAATATTGGTGAGTGTTTTGTTTCTTCTGCAAACGCTATTCCCAAATAATCTTAGATGGCCTGTGGCCTTTCATAGAGGGCCTATGTTGTACTGCTATTTTGTTTAAAATATGCTGGACGCGAACATTGTGTTGGTTATCTTTCTCACCTAACGTGAATCAACTTTTTGTACTGAACGTTTTTTATATGTGCCTAAATACTTCCAACTCTGTTGGCAAC